GGTCAGGCTGTGGCTGCCCCATCAAGCCTGACCTTGAATGTGTGTGGGGACGGGGCGTCCGCTACCTTTGGGACCCTGTGCCGGTGCTTCACTGCCCTCGTTGTGAAGAACTTACTAACGTGTCTAATCTAAACTACCCTGCTCTAGTTTAGGACCGTTCTTCCATGGCCCATCCCTCCCTGCCCTTGTCCCAAGCCCCTCCCCAGCTTTCCTGGAGCCCCTTCAGGCACTGGAAGGTGCTCTAAGGTCTTCCTGGAGCCTTCTCTTCTCAAGGCTGAACACCCCAACTCTCCCAGCCTGGCTCCAGAGCAGAGCTGCTCCAGCCCTCCCAGCATCTCCAGGGCCTCCTCTGGACTCTCCAACAGCTCCGTGTAGAGCTCTACACAGCATTCCAGGTGAGGTCTGAGCAGAGCCGAGGGGCAGAGTCACATCCCTTGACCTGCTGGCCACGCTGCTTTTGATGCAGCCCAGGATTTGATTGGCCCTCTGGGCTGCAAGCACATCACTGGTGACTTGTGTCCAGACCCCAAGTCTCCTTTCCAAAGGGCTGCTCTCTTGTCACCTCATCCCCTAGCCTGTATTGATAATAAGGATTGCCTGTTGAGCTTCATGAGGTTGGAGCCTCCCTCAGCTCCCTCCTGTGTCCCCATGTGCATCCCAATGCACCCGCAGTCCTGCTGCTGGTGTCCCCATGTAGTCCTGTCACAGGAGATGGCCCAGGCTCATTGACACAGCCTCAAGACTAAAGCTTGCCAGGTATGGTCTGAAGATTTCATGCCCTACCTGCAGCTTCGTTTCACTTGCTTTAGCTGTGTGAGCCATTTTTGTAATTATCAGGTGTCTGTGGCTAATTCATTTTACTCATTTCTCCTTGTGTGATACAGCACTGTTTTTATATAGGCAGTATCAGCTAGCAGTTATTGTAGGTAGAATGAGATATTTACAACACAATGATGTAAAGAAATACAGGCCTGGTAAAACAGCTGAGGTCTTGAGAAGTGGAGATGCAGGATTGGGCATAGAGGGGAACTGGCAAGGGGTGATAGGAAATGGGGCAGAGCTTTCATGCTGGAGACCTCCTCGTTATAACCTACCTAATGATTAGTTAACAAATTGCAGACCCAGACCTGGACAAAACTGGGTTTAGGGGTAACAAGGTATACATATCTAAGATATGTACAGGAAACAATTTAGAGTACATTCAAATGTAAATGTATAAAGAAAGAGAAGGGTATAAACTTATGTTAGCAAACACACATATGTGAGCCTAAGCAGAACGGAAGAGTAGAAAGGGAAAAAAAAAAAAAAGAGAGAGGATGTGGAAACCTTTCACAAGATCATCACATTCCAGTGAAGGACTCCAGGTGCTGACAACTTGTCATGAGATGCCCCCACTGCAAACATCAGAGTGAACCACAGGTCTTAGTATCCAGAGGAGCAGCAGTCAGGTGAGTGTAGCACCAGAAAAGGCATAAAAACTAAGTGTGCAAGTTGTAATTTTAATTGTATTATTGCTATTACTGCAACTTTTCTATTGTATGTAAGTACTTGACCTACATTGTTCTTTTTGGCTTTTCTGTAATTTATTCTGGATTAATGATGACTCTTGAAGGAGACTGTTAAAATTTCTGTTATGCTAATATCAAAGTCTTGGCTTTACATATATTCACAAAGAGGTGTGGTTAGTACTCTAGAGGGAAGTCATGCCATCCAGAGGGACCTTGGCAGTCTAGAGAGATGGGCCTGTGCAAGCCTCTTGAAGTTCAACAAGGCCAAGTGCAGAGTCCATCACTCACTGTGATGGGCATCCCATGGGGCTGAGGGCTCCCCCAAGGCAGCCTCAGAAAGAGCCAGGACAGCGGCTTCATTTGTCTTGATGGGTTATTTGGGTTTCCCAGCCTGTGGGTGAATCTTTTTTTCACCTTCCTGTTTGTGCAGATGAGCCTTTTATGGGCTGACTGCACTTCTGTGGTAGTCCTGGGATTAACTAGGCCAGGGGAATAGTTGGGTTCCCCCACCTGACATTGTTCCTCTCTGCTCCTTTGTGTCTGTTGAGATGAACTTTTTCCCACCTAGACTAACATTTATGATGGGCTACCTCTGTAACTTAAGTTATCCAACAATTCTATTTGAGAAAACAGACTGAAATCCTGTTAGAGGAGCAGATCTTTACTTCACCTCAGCCCCCACATTTTCATGTGCGGTGCCTTTTCATCTTATTTTCATATATAATTATATCAAGGTTAAAAACAGGTTAGTGCACCAAACCAGTATAGCTCCTGATGCCAGCGTCTGATTAAGCTTCTCACCCTTTCTGATTTGGCCCCTGGAATAGCAGTGATTTGAAAGATTATCTTGCATCTCCTTTCCATTCTAAGATGACTGTATCATTGAAGCTTTCATGTTTGTAAATGAGCCTCTAAGCAGATTAACATTCATAATTGGCTTGTGGAAGGCTGCATCCCTTGCTCAACTGACACTGATGTCCAGCGTGGACAGGAGCAGGAGGGCAGTGCTGTGAAAGCAACAGGAAGAAGAGGATCATTCCTGTAGCATCATTCTTCTGACCACACATACACATGGGCAATAACAGCAGCTCCACAGTGGATGATCTGCAGGCTGTTGAGATCCACCACTGGTACAAGAAGTTCATGACGGAGTGTCCTTCTGGACAGCTGACAGAGCATGAATTTAAACAGTTCTTTGGGCTTCGAGGGCTGGACCCAGAGGCCAATGAATACATCGAGCAGATGTTCCGCACGTTTGATATGAACAAGGTGAGTCCTCTGGCAAGGAAATCAACTGCCTGGTAGTGCTTAAAGGTGAACCAACTCCTGTACTTTTAGAGTCCTTGGTTTTCTTTTACAAATGGTGTGGAAAGCTGCTGAGGGATACTGATGGAAAGCAGTGAGCAAATGCAAGAAGCAAATTAATGTGCATGGATGATAACATAGATAACACAGCCATAGGTAATAACACCTTATTATCTATCTCGTGCAAGTTTGAATATTGAGAGTTATCTATTAATTGGCTTGGCTTTGTTTGACTAGCAAATACTAATGAAAAGAGATCTCATTACTAGGCTTATATATTCTTATTCTTGCTATTCAAAACTGTACGTATTAGATAGTAGAGACTACAGGAAACAAACATAGGAGGTAACACCCCCTGGTTTTTGCCTGGTTTTTACCTGTATATACTTAAGCTTATGCTTGCAGGCCTGTAATCTCAATGACAGAGAAATGTGGTTTTATGGCAGCCTGGGAGAATTCAGCTTTGCTCTCTGCTCCAAGGTTCTGAAGTGGCTGGAGCAAATATCTGAGAATCAAGGAGAAACTAGTCACAGAGACATGTGAAACAGGTGGGAAATCACGGAGTTATTTTGAAGAAGGGAAACCTAGGGACTTAGCAAAGAACATTGGCTTGGACAACATGTGAGAAGGCATAAGGAGTTAAGGAATACTAGAGAATATTACAGCATTCTTCAAGGTAAGAGAGGAGCAGCCAGGCTCCAATAGGGTAGATGAGGTCTTGTGATTCATGTAAGGACTGGAAATGACTGGAAATGTCAAAGAATATCCCTTTTCATCCTAAAATTCTCTGTGCTCAGGATGATGATAGTGATAAGAAGCAGTTTTATAAACTAAACCAACACATGTAGAGTTCTTGCACAAGTCTTTGCCTTTACCCATGTCATTTCTTGGGCTGCTTAAGGACTTTAAAATTTGTTCCAGAATGTTACAGATTCTACAGTTCTCCTGTGAGCCTCTGTTATGCAGTAAGCAATGTTTTAAGAAGACTGTCAAATTCAAATTTGGTCATACAAAGATAAAAAACTATCTTCTAAATAAAGCGATAGTGACCTCAAGAAGAATGAAGTAAGATTGTGCCAACTAGTGGAGATGGACCTGCACCAGTTAACCTGCTAAAAGTTATCCACTTAATGTGAGCTTCTTTTATAAATGAAGGCAAGGAATAAGAGAACCCAGAGAACAGCCACCTTGCAATCATCCAGACATCAGCAATGGGTGGACTCATCTGCCCTCTGGACATTCAGATTCTGAAAACCCTCCTGAGGACAAAGAAGATACATTTTCAACAAAGTTATTTTATAAATTGCAATCATGTCCTCCTCACCTTTAGAGCTGGTAATCTTTGTTTTCTGTGACTTTGCTCAATGAAGGTAAGAAAAACTCACAAAAGGGGAGTACTACAATGATCTTGAGTGAACATTTTAAAATGTGATTCTTGCTGTGACACAGCAGTGCTCTGCTAGTCCACCTGTATTTGCCTTTTACACATATTTATTTACAGCCATTCCAGGAAGGAATCTGACTTTGTTTTAGTACCTCAGTAAATGAAAGTTTTGGGTTTTTGCTCTGTAATTGGCTGAAGTAGTAATTCAGAATTTTTGACAGACATTTGTTTTTTCCTTCTAACCATGTCAAATTTTAGTTAGTGTTAAACCTAGGGATTATGAACTTTCACAGTTGAGTTTCTTTGTAGGTCAAGAAATTTAAGTTTAAAAACCTAAATACAGAACAATTTTTCCAGCTGTCAAATCATGTTCTGTGTATTAAAAAATAAAAAAAATTTTAAATCTTCAGTCACCTTTTTTTTTTTTTTTTTTCAGAGAAGGGAGAAGAGATATTGGCTTACTAAAATAGCAGTAGTTTCCCCCAAGGACACAGCACACTGGTACAGAAAACCTATGGCAGAATTACCTTCCGTTTTTCTTGCAGCCAGGACCTTGGATCAGTTTTCTTTCCCAGCAGGACACAAGTCAGCTCTGGTAGACAGAAGGGGTTTGTCCACACTGCCCGTGAGGAGTGACAGGTTCTGTCCCTGCAGGTGCCAAGCACAGATTATCCCAGGTCTGTAACAGATCATAAAATTAGGAATCCAGATTTTTAGGAGATCTAAAAGGTGGCCAGAGAAATAGCATCTGTGTGAACTAAAGCTTTTTCTGAAGTCACAGCCTCTCCGCCACTTCTTTTTCTTTCTCTTTTAGCTGTGACTCTACAAAGGTAAAACAGCTCCAGAGCCATAATTCCTTCAGGTTGTTCCTGTCACAATCTGGTTTCCATTTTCCCACAGGATGGATATATTGACTTCATGGAATATGTGGCTGCTCTCAGCCTTGTCCTCCGTGGAAAGATGGAGCAGAAGCTGCGGTGGTACTTCAAGCTCTATGATGTCGATGGCAACGGCTGCATCGATCGACATGAGCTGCTCAACATCATTAAGGTGAGTCTCTAGGGGTCTGTGTTCTTTCCTCTTTCCTTAAAGACAAATCCTAAGACACAAGTAAGACTTAGGGTACTTCCCATATGGATGATCATGGATGCTTTAATAGCATTTCTTCTTCTAGCAGAATTCCCCACAATCTCATAGTCCAGGAAGCAGACTTGACAGAAATTGTCTGTCATCTGCACATGTGACAGCATGGCCAGCTCCAGGAAATTGTTCTAGCTGCCTTTCTAACTTGCACTTTCCAAGATTTCAGATTGTGTGACTGTCAGTTGTGATCTCCACAACGTGTTCTTCATGGGTCCTTTTCCCCATGTGAACAGTAAGTAGTTGGAGAGTTACTCCCGGTTTGCTTTGTAGATCCAGCTCCTAAAGGCCAATGTAGTAAAACTTTTTGGCTCTGGCAAAGAGTTTGAAGGAGATCAACTGTCAATGGAAGAGATTGTTTGCAAATAACTGTTGTGGAAGAAGATGTTGGAATTGCAGGTGTAAACAAGATCCAGTGAATATCTCTGAATTATGCTCAAAGTTTATGTTATTCTGTAGAGACTGAAACTAGAAAGATGCAGGAGAGATTCCGTTACCCTAAATAATTTACATTTCTGAATAAGAAAGGTCAGAAAATGGATTTGATAAGGATTTGAAACCTGAATGGGCAACAACTACAACCACTAATAAGACATTAGTAATGCATTCTCATCAGGATATGATTTTTAGTGCTGGGCATTGAAGAGACCAAATCAATAACTGTAATAATATACAGCTTCCTGCTAATAACTTGCAATAGAAATAATCAGACATCACAGTGAAACATCAGGTAGTAATTGTTTAACACAGAGCTCTTGAGAAACAAGTTCTGTGGGCCGTAACTGGTGACAAGGAGTGTTCTGCCCTTCAAATTTTGTGGGTGCAGTCCAGTGTCTTTTTTGGCAGCCTTAGGAAGCTGCTGAGGTGATACAGAGTTTTATTAAAATGGCATGTGAAAAAGAATGAAGAAACTTACAAAATATGAGAAGGTAAAGCTAGAAAATGAATAGTCTTATGCTCAGTATGAAGCTCTGGAATCACTTACTTCTTGGACATCCTAAACCAAAGGAAACAATTAGGCACGGAAAGAAAAGAGAACCCTGCACTATAATGTCAAATGCAGAGGGTGTTTGAGAGTGTTTATTGGGCTTGGTGGAAAGTGGATCAATTAGCTGGATCCTGATTCTGCCATTTCTGCAGTGCTTAATCTCTACCTAAGCAGATTTAGGGAGATTCTCTCTGCTTCACTGCTCATTCCATGCTCCAGAGCCATGCTTTCTTTTCACCCTTTCATGCGAACCATAAGGCCTGATGATTTCTGCTGTGTTTTCCTATGATACTGGTTCATTTGTATGTGGAAGATACCAGGCATGACACTCTTGTTCTGGATCAACACTGCCAGTCTGCAACGGAATCAGTCTATTGCTTTGGGAGCCATTAGGTAGCTTCCACTTCTTGCTCTTTTCTTTTAGGCTATTCGAGCTATTAATGGTGGTGACCATGAAACCAGTGCAGAAGAGTTCACCAACCGAGTCTTCAACAAAATTGATGTGAATGGCGATGGTGAGATGCCTGTCTTCATCACCCACTTCATGTGGTCTCTGTGCTCCAGAATCACCTGTGTCTTCCTTTAAGGCTCTTCATTTTACATTTGCTTTTATAGGAATTCTCATCCAGTAACACATTCTCCATGAATCTTGCTAAGGCATTTTCCTCCTTGCATCATACATAATCAGCATGACAGGATTTGTTCCCTGTACTGAGTCTCAGCTGTGTTCTGTCCACATGAATTTGGCAGTGTGGCTTTGGCATGGGTTTGGAATTTTTTTTGCCTTTTTGTATGTTGTTGTGTAGGTTATGTCAGAGTTAGAAGTGGGAAATAATAACAGATGTCTCTGGCTGCTTCTAAATTTTTCAGCTGCAGGAATTTAATGTTGAAGTTGAGAGTTTCTTTGCTGGGTCTGCTACAGGCAGTGCAGCAAGCACGTGAAGTGTATGAATCAGTCAGTCAGAAGCTGGTTAACACCACTGTAGTTGCTGCATGTCCCTTATATTTCTTTCTTTCCTACTTCAAGTGCTCATCACTTTCTGATGTGCTTTTTTGTTATTCCAGAAGAACTCTGCCAAGCTCCTTCCCTGCACAAGGGATTTTTGGCCTAGCACAGAAAGCCTATTTCTGCCCATCACATCTTTCTTCTCTCACTTCTTTTACACATGAAAACCAGCAAACATGGGGGAGGTTAGGACTATGACAGGTTAAGGCAAAAAGGAGTTGGCCAATCCAGCCTTATTTATGGGAATTTATGATTCCACTCCTTAGCTAGGCACTTCCTCTGTTCTTTTTTATGTACATTTTCTCTTGTGTGAAGTAAAAAAAAAAAATAAGTTGGAGTTGCCTGCATAATCAAGGAAGTTTCATACAAGCTTAAAAAGACTCTCTGAGGCCTGTTGGTGCCTTAGAACAGTGCATGTATAGTAAGTACTATAGACAGACAGTACTATAGTACTAAAGACAGATTACTGTCCTTTTCCTGTTGGAATGTGAATTGGCTTTGATTCTGATGCCTTTTGTGTTTGACACAGGTGAACTTTCTTTGGATGAATTTGTGGAGGGAGCAAGGAAAGACAAGGAGTTCATGGAGGTTATGATGAAAAGTTTGGACCTGTCACACATTGTGGCAATGATCAACAACCGTCGGCACAGCGTATAGATCAAGCTGGAAGAAAACACCGTACCAAGAGGCAGAAAGGTGTGCACACAACAGAAAAGAGAGACAGCATTTTAAGAAACTATCAAAAGTTCCATGAACACTTACATGGCATCAAGAACAGAAAGACTCTGCTATATTTGTATATCTGAGTGTGTGTTCCTATACAAATGCCAAAGCTCAGCCCCATACATGCAGGGCAGGTTCAGAAAAACTGCATCTGGGTGGCAGCATCTGACTTGACTTCCTAAAATTTGAAGGGCAAGCTTCAGGGCACAAATTTCCACTTTATTCTGTGTCCCAAATTGTCCCTTTGCAAGGGACTAAAAGTAACGCTAAGTTTGTGAAGAGCAGTAGCAGAACTGGGTGATGGAGTGTGAACAATTTCTGACATCTACAAAATAAGAGCTTAAAACTGTTATCAATGTAGAAAACTATCAAAAGAATGTAACTTCTCCTGTTCTTGTCACAGTATTAGATCATAAACATCATCATTTTTGTCTGTACCAGATGTGCCTGGCTTTGGTAGTCTCCACAGAAACAGCTTTATTCATAAGATCTCAAAAGCTCGAAGAAGAATCAGTCTTTAAGGCTGATAAGTGTCAAATCTGTTCCCAGCTGCACTGTCAGTAATGCTGCTGTTGGTAGCTTTCTGTGGTCAAAGAAAGCTTTACCAAACAAGTCAGTAGTTTAGGAGCAGTTTTTGTAACCAAAGAAAATATGCTGTACAGTTTCCCAAAAAAGAAGGATTGTGAAGATGATCCCAATATTGTTGCTTCACACATCCTTTATTGGTCTTTCTTTTTGTTCATGGAGAGAAAACCTAGAGCAAAAGAAACAACTCAGCAAGGTGACTTGTGGATTCTGCTGTTCACTGAATACTGGAATGAAGTGGATACTCTCTATCAGTTCTGCCATAGGCTGTATCTTTGTGATGGAGCAGGGATAGAAACGGCAAACTGTGTCTTGTTCACTAATGTTAGGTAAGGTCACAATCAGAAGCTCCTTTGAATCCAGAGAGAGAACCAGAAGGTAAGAAAAATGCAGAAGTCCAGCAGAGTGCCTGTGCCATAGTTGGGCATGTTTTTCCTGTGCAGAAGGAAGAACTTGCAGGCTTGTAACAAGACTTAGAATGGACTTAATTGTGTTTATATTGAAGATTCTGCCATGTCTATATGTAGACTGCACCAAGTGCACAGGCTTTTGTCTCAGTCGGGAGCATGCAGTCAGTGCTGTCACTAGACCTGGAGACAGTGAATGATTATGTTTAGGGTGGACACCAGTATTTTGCCAGGGAGGCTCATACTGCAGGTCCCACTGGCACATACACACCTGCAATCTTAGAGCTGCCAAGAGGAATCAGCCTGGGTGGTGGAAAACACCCTCTAGAGGATGACTGCGAGCATGTCCCGTGGGACTCTGCTGTCCCTGTGGGCTGAGGAAGACAGAGGCTTTTGTTCAAGAGTCTGTTGAACCTGCCCTGTACCTGTTACAAGCCCTCACTCTCCTACAGTTTTTTGTGTCACTTACATGTAAAACTGCATTTTTCTAATTATCGGACGCAGAAAAACCCGTATTTTTAGTTCTTAGGGAAGAATTGTTGTAAAAGCAGCTGATGTATTAAAAATTGTTGTAAGAGCAGCTGATGTATTAAATAAATCACCAAGAAGTTGTAGCCAGCAGCAGTGTTGCAGCAAGCTGCTGTACGCACTGCAGAATCTTCTTGATGTACATAAAGGAGAGGGATGTACATAGTTCATTATTAATAATAATCCTTAATATTTTAAGTGGAGTTTATATATATATATTTTTAATAGTCATTATAGAAAACTGTATCTTCCTTGGCTGTCATTGCTGATGATGCTAGATCACCTCCCAGTTAAGATGCAGTTATGACATTCATAGTAGCCAAAAAAGCCACATCATGCTGTCACTACACTGAGTTCCAGACGCATGTTTTGTTCTCCGTGTTTTCTTCTGTTGCTGAATGATTCACTGGGTCTTGGCCCTGCAGCCAAGTCAGAGACCTGTCCATCAGAGCCTGTGCCTTTTCAGGAGCTATGGGAAGGGAAGCTGGGGAGGGGGAGAGGAAATCTCTGTAAAGAGAATTGTTTTCTGACCTACTTCACTTATTTGTACAGTTAAGATTAAAGTAATGTACAATAAATGTATCTTGAATTTCCCTTTGTTAACAAATAGAAGATATCTATTCTGTATAGGCAAGCTTTCATAGAATCATAGAATCATAGAATCTTAGGGGCTGGAAGGGACCTCGAGAGATCATCTAGTCCAACCCCCCTGCCAGAGCAGGGTCACCTAGAGTACATCACACAGGAACTCATCCAGGTGGGTTTTGAATGTCTCCAGTGAGGGAGACTCCACAACCTCCCTGGGCAGTCTGTTCCAGTGCTCTGTCACTCTCACAGTAAAAAAATTTTTTCGGATATTCACCTTGAACTTCCTATGCTCCAATTTACACCCAAGCTTTGCGATACTGTTTCGTTCATCGTGCCGGCCATGGTCTGACATGGTCTGACACCCTCTGCATTCACTGCCAGTGTCACCAAATCACTTGTATTTGCAGAGCTGCTGAGTTTCACTGCGCTGCCTGGAGGCAAGGCCAAGAGGTCAGGAAGGAAGCAACACAAGCTTAGTTCTCTGAGAGAAATGTTCATTTCAGGGCTTTCAGACGTAGTTACTTGCCCAGGGGCTGCAAAAGGGGAGGAGAGAAAATCAAGAGCTGCTCAATAGAAGCCACAGTCACACCTGTCAAATGGTCAGAAGGTAGATTCCATCGGGCTCTG